CACACACACACACACACACACACACACACACACACACACACACACACACACACACACACACACACAATCAGTTTTATGTTTTTCAGTCTTTTTCTCAGTTGTCTGTTCTTCCTTTTTTTTTTCTAACTTCTCTTGTGTGCCCAACTGAGCACCCTTAAGTAGTGCCAAACAGTCGGTGGTCCCTTGTTTGGAGTGCCAACTGCACTCTTAGGGGGGCTGCTCGGTTCGGGGCGCCTGTGTTGCCTGTCGGTGATGACGGATGTTCGGCGGAGTGACTCCCTGGCTCACTGGGTGGTGGGAACCAACAGTCTGCGGTGTTCACCCGTGATGTGAGTAGGTCATGTGCTGCTTTGCTCTGTGTTGGATGTGTGGGATGCCTTGTGCTGTCTGCGCGTCACCGTTGCCTTGCTGCCTATCCCGCTTGGGTCACGTGCTGTTCGTTGTGTGCTGTTACGTTCGTTGTGCAGTCTGGTTGTGGTAGTTGTGTTGCTTTGTGCTTCGCCGCGCTGCTTCCAAGTTGTCCATTCATGTGCCGTGCCTTTTGGGTTCCTTGCGTGTGTGTCGTGTAGTGTGGTGGTCGTGTGGTTGTTGCCTTGTGCTTCATTACACGAGTGTTGTGTTGTGCCTCCACTTGCGGTGTTGTTCCTTGCAGTCGTCTGTGTCGTTCTGCAGTTGAGTGACTTCTGGTGCATTGCCTGGTGCTTCGCAGGGTTGTTTCTTGCTGCCGTCCGCCGTTTGACGTGTTGTTCCTTGCAGTCGTCTTTGGCGTTGTGCGGTTGAGTGGCTTCGGGTGTGTTGCCTGGTGCTTCACACGGGTGTTGCTCACTGCTGTGTTCCGCTTGTGGGCAATCTGCCTTCAACAAGGGTCAAAGGGTTCATGACCCCAAACATCCAAAACCGGTGCTCCGCAGATTGTCAAGGGTTCAGCCTCCTGATGAGTCGGTGCAATTCCGACGAAACAATCTTTAATCACAAACCTTTATTTTTTTCGGTCCTTCGACTTTCTTGGGACTTGTATTTTTTTCGGTTTGCCTGTTTTGGTGTGTCT